TTTTATTTACGACTCGTAACTTCTGAAATGTAAACAAATTCAACTCATTCAGAGGGGAGACGCGAAATCTCTTTTTAAGAATGCAGTGATCACTGCCTCAATCGTTTGATTTCCAGTAAACTATCCTCACGATACGAATTTTTTTGGAAAAATCCTGGGGATTCAAAATGATTCAGACTGATTTCCTGGAAATGTTTTGCGCATATGAGATCGGTCAATTAATTCCCAGATGCCTGAAAACTATCACTCGAACCAGACGTTTTTGTCGGAGCTCAGAAATTCCATTTCTCAAATAGCTGGTTGCGAGTCCATGCTTGATTAGGCCGTTTGCTTTTTTTTTTTGATCATTGCCGAGGCTCGAGATTACTCGTAAGTATCCTCAGAAAAGTAGAACGTGTGCATCGAAATCGTAAGAAGCGTCTGTTGTGCTTCCTTAATGGTGATGCCCTGTTTGGAACCCCGATGATAATGACCACGCATTTCCCATCGAAATTGCAGCAAATCATCGAATAATGGGTTTATGATACGTGTCTGCTCTTTCCAGCCGAATGATTACATTCTTCTTCTGAAAAAAAGGAGTACAAGTACAGTACTGTACTGTGAGTTCTAAAAAATTATAAAATTCATTTTTCCACAATTTCTGGCAAATCTGTCGGAAGTTAAATTGAAAATGCAATGCAGTACAGTATATAAATAATGTAAAGAACATTCTTCCGAGTTATCCCGATGTACATTCTGTATTACTTTTTGATCACTCGACAACCGCATGCCGTCTCAGTTTTATCAATTGCAGCAATTTTGAATTTATTTTTTCAATTCTACAACTTCCCTCGTCTTGCATGCCACCTCCTTGTTATCGAACGCCCCATTCTATGACTCACACCAAGGACATACCATACAGTATTTCCGAAAATCTTGATAAACAACTTCCGAATGCATTCCTGGCGCATTTTTATTCCTTTTAAATTGCTGTTCCGATTACAGTAATCATTTAAAGCCCAACATCACCTCTGCGACAGCTTGAGTAACACCTGACCTAGCATACCACTGGTTGAGAAGACTTGACCTTAGGTGAGAAAAACAGGAGCGTGGGATATACTCTCCTTTTCAGTGCGACCGGATTATTCAATCTACTCGCATCAAATCAAAATCTCTGGGATTTCTCCGAAAATAATGAGGAACGTGAGAAACCCATGCTGAAGTATTCAAAATTTGAGTTCTGGAGGATGCGAAGTGCTATTGCTGAAATCCGTCGATTTAGTTATTCAGTGGCTCGCAGATGTTTGGAGGTGGACCAAAGCAGCAGCACTGAAGAAAGACGAAAAATCAGAAGAAGAGCAAGGATCGCTATTTAAAAATGTAGAATAAATATAAAAAGATAGCACAATGGCCGACTGTTTTCTTTCGGCACTGGGAGCCGTAATTTGAGCACGAGTTTCCATTTGCGTGGCTCCTCGTCATCTAGAATCTTTTCATGTGACACATATTTGAGGTGTCCCACTTTCTTTAATATGCTCCTTTAACCAACCCGATGCCAGGGTCGTAGCGCCGCACTCGTCAGGAAAATTCCCCGTCGACAGGAGCGAGCTCGTTTTCAAGAAACCCTCTGCGAAAGGCGATAAAAACCCAGGCAACCACGATACCAATGTACTGTATATTCCTGGTCGCTTGATCTTCGGGAATCTTTCCGTAAAGTGCTCGAGTGAAAAAAATAGGCCAGCGTATTTCTTTCCCTTGAAATATTCGCATGTCAAGAAATTGTGTTGAATACCGGAGTGAATTTAGTCATTCCAAACCGCGTTGAGACTTCATGAATTCCGACAGTATGACGAGACGCTGTGTGGCTTCCATGATTTTTTTTCTACGTTCACTGAACTTCATTTTTGCTCAGGATTTAGCGTAATTCCGCGTTATTTTTTTGGAATACTGTACAGTATTTGATAAAATCTTATGGATATTCATGTAAAGTTCTATTTCATTGACGCCTCAATCGATGTTCGCCGTTTCTGAAAGTTTCATCCATGTCCCTTTTCATCACCTTTGGCAAGATGTTGGAAATGCTTACATGGAGCAGATACTGTATATTTTATTGCGTCAGAATTTTCCTTGGCTAAAATTTGAGTCAGGTTGAATAAAACGAATGCTGTTCCGATAATTCAGATTTTCTTGCATTTGATGAAGCGATTGTCTTCAATGAGTTGCCTGAGCTCTTGGTTATGAATCGGCGCTTGCTGAACGGAGAAGAAGCGCGAAAAATTCCCCAACTGATTCCAGTCAGATTGTGGCGCTTCTTGTGCACTCGCGCAACGCCTTCAGTGCTCATGGAGAAAGCTGGATTATCCAGAAGTTACTTAGTCCAAAAGACATTCGCTGGAACAATATCGCACGACTCTTCTCAGCTGACAAGTTGGAAAAGCAGAAAACGTCTGTGAAATTGATTGAAGTGCCGTGAACCAACATAACCGTGTATCCACGAAAAAACGTCTTGCGTCACTTAGTTGAAAAAGGCAGACTGGGTTCAGATTCAGGGAAATTCCTACGCTTGATCATGTGAATGCGAGATTTTTGGTGGGGGAAATGTCGGTCTCCTTCCTTGAATGCGAAGTATGCGTTAGGATTCCAGATACAGTGTATTATTAGAATCTCTCGCTTATAAAATCGGGAGACAATTTTCAGTTCTGCCCGCCCAAAGAAATATTTGAATGGAAAGTCGTCAAACTTTATTATCACGAAGTATAAATATTGGGATATTTTATTGTTTTTGAATGAATGTCCTAAAATGGATTTGCGCTGTATTTTAATTCGTGAATGGTTTTAACTTGATGTGAAACAATGTTTCGTGATCCAGAATATATATTTTTCGCACCAGGCCTTAACTTTTAGGGGAAAACTTTGTGCGGCAGGTCGGAATTGATGAGTTACAGATGCTTAAAGTGGCCACTTAGAAGCTTTTTTTATAACGCTAAAGTACTGCACTTGAATAAACATCCGTTTAAAGCAAATAATACTGTGGTGTGAACCATCTCTAGTTGATTAAATTAATCCCCCGGAGATGTGGAATTCACATCAGGCCAATGCACTTCAAAAGTGACATTCGAAATATGGAATATGACCTTCAATCGAGTGTCACGATTTTGATGATTACTCACGCCTCTTCGCATCACCTACGTGAGCATTGGGTGAACTGGGTTCATGTATGCGGACTCGTGTATCCATTTTTAATTTATCAAGCGAAGGAGCATCCATGTTCTGTAGTTGAGAAATCTAGCAAAAAGAAAATTGTTTCGCAACCTGGGGAAGAGAGAAAGAAAAACAACATGCATACGTGACGCATTTTGCAGTGAGTTGTGCTAGCATTGGGGCTGCGAAAAACGCTCTTGTTCGCGCGTGTATGAAAGGTGTTCTTTGTCACCATTCCGAGGAAATGGTGACACGGAATGTCGCGTCAAAGGCGATGGCTACGCAGGTCGAGAACCCGACTGGCTCTCAGTGTCGATCCTTCCGTCGTCCTCGGGTCCTGCGCAAACCGTCGTGATTTCGGACCAAGTGATGAATCAACCTTTTCTTTTTCTCCCAGCGAGGGAATCCCCGAAGGCTTCTTCCTGATGGGTTTGCTGCGGAAACTTCGGGTTCCTGTTCTTGAGCCCGCGCTCGAAGTCAGTGATTTTATTTGTCGGCGAACGCGACATGAGTTGATCGGAAACATCTCTAAGGTCTCTCAAAATCTACTTTGAGCGTTCGATTTATCTGCAAAAACGTTCTTCGAAAAACAGAAATACTTCACTGTAAGAAAGTCACAGAGAAACTCTTTAGACTGATCTTTCTCATTAATGTTTCGTAGGAATGTGCTGCGAAGACATGTTGTCAGATATGTGAGAAATTCTGAAAAATCAAGTGTCACATGGAACATTTCATCAGTGCCTTCACTTGTTTTGGTGATGAATCGAATTCGAAAACTGTACGCGTTTCTTCAAAACGTGCAGCATTAGATAATTGCATTATTACGTCGATATAAGAAACCATTTCATTGATTCCATTTTTTTAGACCTAGCTAAAAATACTGAAAATCGTTTTAAGGATCGAATTCACTGTTTCATTCTGAGATGGCGGCACATAATTGTTTACTGACTTCGAGACGCGTTCAGGCAGAAAACAAAATTTTGGGAAATTAGAGGGGGTGTTCATTTGCAAGATTTCTGAAAGATAACGATTTCTTAGCGCGTACGAGTGCTGTATTGAAAATACTCAGTTTTCTAATTGATGCTTTGAACCGATGTAGAAATCGATTGCAGTAGAACTGCGATTATCCGGGCTGTTGATCGGGTATCCTTTCCCAGATATTCGTATGCTGTATCAAAAGGTCATTTGAAGCGTTTAAAATATTAGGAATTTCCAAACTACCTACTGCTGGAATTCCCGTGAATCTTGGTGTGTTAACCCAGATATTTAGCCGCCCCTGAAATCAAAAGAAAATCGCTCAAGTTTAAATTTCGAAACATGCAGGCCACTTTCTTCATCAACTTTTAATATGCGACACAGTATTATAAGACGCAACTCGATTTTCTTGGGTCTGAATAAAAACCTACGAATGCAGGTCGGGTTTTGATTGCCTTAAACTTACGTCAAAATTAAAAGATTCTGTTGATTCTACTCAGGCCTGCGTAAATAATTCCTGAATATGCTCGAACTCCTTCAACAGAAATCCGGTCTATCTCTTTTACACCACACCTCACGTGTGAAGCTACAATTGTCGCAAGGACTTTCATGGTTAAAATTATGACTTTAATTTGAATCGAAAGGAATTTTGGTCTGAGGCACTGCACTTGCGGATTCGAAACGCCTCCTTACGCTTTCCACCCTTATGGTTTTCGCTTGAAAAAAAAAAAAGGCCCGGCTCACCATAAAGCGAATACCGCAATTCCGTCTGCATGGTTCGGAATTTGAGTACTGTCCAGGTATAATCATAGCCCAGATAATTGGAGTTCCACTGCCCCTCTCCTGAAGGCAGTGAAGCGCGGTCGTTCAGGCGCAAGTCGAGAGAGTCTGGCCCTCAGTGCGCGTCCTTCCGTGTTGCTTGGTCCGTTCGGAACTCCGTCGTGTCAACCGCGAAAATTTCCGTCATGGACGCGCCCCGCGGCGTCGTCAACTGCGGGTTCGAGCCCGACGAGGACTTGAACGTCCTGGAAAGTATTTCGAGGACCGTGTCGCTCATCCGCCTTCCCGACTTCGGAGGACTGGGCCGAGGCCCCGAACTCCCTTACTTCAGGTATGTACTACTTCTGGGCACAGCGAGTTGGGTACTGTTTTTGAACATCCCCGCGGGCAAGGGAATGGCTGGTATGTTTTTTCCGAGTACAGAACATTTTTATGTTGGTAACGAACATTTTCGCATACCAAAATTGCTTTGGTAATCTCAGCTTTAAAAAAAAACAGCTATCTCGCCGTAATTGAATCGCAATACGATGTACATGATCCAAAAACTATTGTTCCGAAATGTGCGTGGTGCGATAGTTGGTATAGTTGTTACAGTATCTTTCGATACTTTTCATTCTTAGGAAAAAAAAGTTGCATGCTGATGGTTGTAGTGTAATTTTTTAGTGCGAAAATAGTGAGCTCGCACTATTGAAAAAAGATGCGACTTTTCGGTTAGTGTCTTGGGAAGGGCTTACATACCAACATTCCCCGAAAATTTGGCCCCCAAAATATTTGCTGTAGCAGACTTGAATTGATCCTAAGATTTATATGATAAATATATTGATCACTGGGTCTGTTGAAAATGAGGAGGGAAGGGAATCCGCAAAAATTTACCAGTTGAATGTGGGATGTTTTACAGACTTCATTCGACCATAGATCGTTTTTAACCCTCCCCAATGCTGTTCTCCATAAGTTCGGTAAAATCTATGCTCAAGAAATTCGTGTATCGACCACACTGATGAAGAATGCGCCCGATTTTCGCGTAATCTCAGAGATTTTGCTGGATTTAATTCATTGAAAATACAGTTAATTTATGTTTGCTGCTACAAGAAATTGAGCATTCCTCGGTTAGCGACTTGCTGATGACTGCTATTCTATAGCATGGTGATTTCAATGGAAGAACCTGTTGATCATGGACAGTGATTTTCTAGTGTTCATTCTATTGAACTTGGCATTTTTCTTTAGCAATCAAAGAAGTCTTGCTTAAAATTACTGTCCAGAATCAGGGTTTGGCCAACTCTTACACGCGGCCTATGGTCACGTAAATATGGTACAGCAGTACATTTTTGAGACTTTTGCTCCGAGAATCTTATATCCTTGTCACCAATGTTTCTGATTGATAAAGTTCTACGGCTTCTCAAGAAGAGAAATAGGATTGGGTGCTTACATGTTGTGCGAATTAAAAAATCATTACTGAAATCGTGCAAATTTTACTTCATTTTCCCGAATCGAAAGTTGAGCTCTCACAGTGAAAAACTGTTTTTGGGCTTCATTGCCTTTTTAAAAGTTTCGTTTGTCCGTATTTCCGATAAAAATCTCTTGCATTTACGTAGTTTTGGTTCAACCGATATTTTCCTACTCAGCTACCTACTGATGCCTCTCATCAAGCATGTACTATACTCGTAAGTTATGTCGATCCTTCGAAATACTTCGGAAAATTCATTTTTATTCCGCTCCTTGAAAAAAATAAATAAAACGCTGCTTAGAGAATGGATGGGTGTCAGTGATCTCTATTGAACTCCCAGGAATGCTTTTCAATGTAAAAAACAAATCTTGCATTCTGAGGCGATGGCGTTTAGATCGGAATTATCAAGCGTGACTCAAAATCAGCAAGTCCCTGGGAAGAATTCTGTCACACGTTTCAACCTTGAGATAAATCCCATCATGTGGAAATAACGCATGTCCATGCATTTAGCAGGGATGCGCTGATACTGTACACTGTTTTTATTGGACAAACTACTGTACTGTATTTATTTAATCGGAGATGATGAATCTACACGTTCAGAAAATGGCGTGAAAAATGTATAACACTCGGTTCAATGCAAGCGAATGTTTATACCTGAATTGTACTGTACTGTACCGTACCATGCGTGCTCTACTGAAGAATTGGCGAGTTTTGACCGCCGACTTCCGCAATCTTTCTTCACGGCCAGAACGTCCTGGAATTGGGATACTGGGTCGAGTCGGCGGCATCGAGTCATTTGACTGACGAAGTGATTCTCGTCGTTCGTGCGACTCGTCAGTTCATCACTTGTCGGTTCATTATTCCGGAATAGATTCAATTTCCTTCGATTCACATTCTTGCACTCGACAAGCTCCAGATTTCTTTTACCAATAAAGCTGCTCTCGTCGTCTATGCAGAAAACGTGTACGAGATAAAAGTTAACGACCGGTTGCTGAGTTGCTCTTTGAGGTAACATACTCAGATGCGCTCGAATTTTCGGCGCCGTTATCGAAATTGCCGAGTAGTGATCTTTCACAAATCACGGAAGCCATGAATCGGCATCTACAAATGTGGGTTTAAAGATAAATATATATGTCCTTATGCACTGATTCTCTTTTGCTTTGTTACGTTCTCAGATGCTGGCGTGAATTGAATTTGAAGCCTCTGTCGTATAATTATCTCGAATTGGCTGTACGTTGATATTTTTTTGTTAAAAGCCGGTTGATTTTTCTTGTAGATTTATGTTAATTTTTTTAAAACGTGTGTATCCACTATTTATAATTTTAACACGCGACTGCAATTATGCCAGAATCCTCGAACGTTTGAATATCATTCGTTCGTTGACTTCCAGAATTTAAAGTCCAGAGAGTTTATAAAGTAGTTGAGAGCTATAAAAAATCTCCTATTCGGATGATTAAATGGACTTGAACAATTTTAAATGGTATGTTGGAGAGTAATGTTTTTTTTTTTTTACTTTCGAAGAGGGATGCGAAACCAAGTGTGAAGTTACATCAGCTGTAGTGGTGAACTTGTAAAATTCAAAATCGTTCCCATTAACCCTCGATTTGGATTCCAAATTCGAAACTAATCACGAAGAAAATTCTGATTTCTTCCAGTTTCAAACGTTGAATTGTACCATGCACGTTCATGTTCGCTTTACCTTACGGAAATAATGCGCAAAGTCACGAGTATCTCACAGAAATCATGAGTCATTACCGCATTTCCCCGTGCGTGAGATTGCTGGGTTGGATCCGTTAATTTGAAGCTCTTCTGTGACGTTTTTTATACGATTCCGATGCCCGGTAATAAATAAATTCCATCATTGACGATACCGTACTTCTGCGCGTTTAAAATGTAGTACTGTATATGGGTACGCTAGTTAAAACGCCTCGACATGCTTCAATCAAGGTTCGGGAATTCTCAGAATTCGAGGACCTTGAACACTTCCATGACCGTGAACTTTTGAACTTGTGTTCAGGTATTCTTCTATGTGGCTGCTGTAACGAGGCGTCGGTAGCACCTTCGTTTGTAATGTCGGTTATCTAAATTTTATTTGCGATAGCGACTGTCATGGTAATGATGAAATAATGTTCGGATGTCGGCCTTTCGTGCAATGCATCCTCTGTGTGGATTGATAAAATGTCTCCAACCTATTGAACTTAATAAATAATAATTATTTTTTACTTGATTAGGAAATAATGTATATAATGTTGTGTATAAACTACTTTTCAGTTGAAAAATATCTCAATCGTGCAGGAGGCACCGAAACAGTTACTCTGTGAATGAAGATGAATGTTTTACTCGGACCCTGACATGCACAGCACTAGCTGTAAATATATTGTCGACTTTCAAACCTGTGGGATGGATTTCATTCCAGAATTCATCGATCTAAGAAACGACACGTCGCTCGCATTTCAAGTCTATGTTTTTGAAAGTAACGGATTCAATTCCTAATGAAATTCTATCTACTAATCGCTGCGTATACGTTTAAAAGCTTAAAGAAATCTAAAGTTTTTATGTTCAACGTTACTTTATATGACAATCGATGTATTTTATTTTAATTTTAAATCGCAGATTCCCTCCGATTTGTGCTTAATTTTTCCACCGGTTTCGGGAGATTCTTTTCCATGAAGGCGTAGCAACAATTTTGTCTTGCTGCATTAGTTCACTGAGAATGTTCTTCAGGTATTGTGAAGCAAGTCATTAAAATTTTTTGGTTGGTGCACTGGATGTATTTCGATGATCAGTTTGCGAAATGTATTCCACATCATCAGGAATTTTAATATAATAACGTACAACAGATGTACCTTTATTTTTTCTGTATTTTTAATAATTAGAAAAACTCCGTTTCCGTGAGTGTAACAGGCTCTTTCAATGCATTACGTTTTTTAAACAGTATAGCGTTGAGTAATGTTTAAAAAGAAGAAAAGTTTTTGAGAGAAATAAAAAGGGTCAGCGGGGATCTACCTCGAGTAACATTTGAAAAAGCATCCGCTTGATTGAATTTCCGAAAATTTGTATTCCGAAAGTTTCGCTAATCAGGATCAATCCTGCATTTCACCTACGAATCTAAGAAGCCTTCAACTAGAAGCCTTCGAGTTCAAGAAATAAGTCTCGATATTTTATGCAATTGTTTGTGGAAGGGGAGGGGGAGAAAGTGCGTTTCAATTTATTCAAAAAATACAGTATTCCGGCATTGTCTGCATTAAAAAAAATTGCAGAAAGAAAAAATATTCTTCGGCTCTGTTCGTTCCGCTTTCTCCCCGCGCCACGAAAAACGCCCGGACGCAACTGGAACAAATTCCGCCGAGTTTTTCAATCTCTGTGATGGTTTGTTTCCCGGAATAATGGACGGAATCACGGCGTGACCGAGAAGCCGCAGACTATAGACGCTTGATGCGCAAGGGCCACGATGACGTCGTTGCTTTCTTGGTGTCTGGGATTTCCCCCCATTATTTTGTTTCCTCGGCCTTTGCATCATGTGGAGGAAGAATTCGTTTATTAATCGGGCATGAATCGCAGAATCGTCGTGTCCAGACACGAGACGCGTTATCCCACCTTGGCAATGAAACAACGAACTTCGATCTATGGCAAGGGTCGATTATGTCGGGGAAGATTGGATTGTAATCGTCGGAACTCGCTCAAGTGTTACGATGGAGAAAAGGGTTCCGAGAACTCACTGGAAGCAACTGGTGCAATGTTCAATTGTTGCCTTAGTTTCTAATGTGGCATTCCTTGACTTGATTTATGTGTCAAAAGTGCATACAGTATTTGTTTACCTTTTCCTTTTATGAATCTCTCTATACATGCAGCTTCTATAGGCATCAATGATCGGTTGCTGGGCGACG